GCCGCTTGCTCTCAGACTTTCGACGTTCGAGGGTAAAGTTTTTGATGTCTTCGATAGCGAAGAGAAACCTATTCACTGAGAGAAAATCAGCTGCCAACTTTGACAACTTCTCCAGTGTTACTTTGGGAGGGGTTCCCTCTTTTTACATTGTTTCTTCAAAAACATATTAACCCCTTCAAAATAAATGTCACTCATATTGACTTGGAGAGCGTCAGTGTTCATCGATTCCTTTAAGATGTACTCAAAATACGAACACATCAGAAAACAGAGAACTGGAATGTGGGCAAAGCTGACAAGATTGTGATTCTTTCTGATGTGATCCATTACAGCATTCTTCATGACCTCATTTTTTCGGAAATGCTTCTCGATGTATTCCTTTTACCTTTTGCTCGGAAAATCCTGTAATTTCCACGCATCGGTCAAAACCAATTTTATCTTTGATTTCATCAGACTCATCGGGCCTTGATGTTATCATAACAACCGAGCCTCTCAAGATATTTCCTTTGATTAGCTTGGCACACAGAGCTGCTACTGGCATTTGCTCATGAGCGTTATTTGGATGCTGGTCATCCAAATCATTGGCGATAAATTTTTGTTGTGCATACTCGTCATACCCGTCGATGATAATTAAAACCTCCTTTGGGTGATCAACAACATACTCAAATAAGGAGTCGTCAATGCTGGAGTGGTCGTCCAGAACTGAAGAGCTATTGAAGATTTCCTTCAGGGTAACGCAGTCGTCTCCGAGTAAATTTAATTGACGAAATGTTAGCAGATAAGCGAACTTGAAATCAGGAATGCACGAATTTGTTCGTGATAGAAACAATTTGTCGTCCGCCCAATCTCGAATCAATTTTTGACAAAACAGCGCTTTTCCGATTCCTGCTTTTCCGGTGACAAGAACACATCCGTGAATCCTTTCCTGGCTACGATCCGTATCAGAGGTGAAAATTTCTTGACAGTGTCTGACTGGTTTTCCACTCACTTGACCATACTGAAGAAGGTGTTCCTGTCTTTCCATGTCAAGGTCTTCTACCGTTTTCCGTCCATGTTGTATGAGAACTCTTGTAAATATGTCATCTGTTCTTATCTTAGACGAGGTAGGAGAAGCTACACTCTGGAACTCAGTTTGGCTTTTGATTGATTCTTTCAATGCGTTTGTGTACGCTGCTACAGCTGAAAAGCAAATGTTAGACTTGGATTAACTGTGTGGAAGAGTAACTTAAACGGATGCAAGGACTTAGAAACTGCCCTTAGGGGATACCGACGATTAATCTAGTCATAACGTAAAGAAAGTTATCACGCTGTTTCGACCACTGCATCAGATAACCACTTCCCTCTCTTCATGGGATGTTAAGGCCTTACTATGTCGAGCATATTAGTCTAGGTTTCTAGGTTACCTTTCACTCCTATTTTCTTTTCAGGATCTGATGTGGATTCTCTCCTTTCATCCAGCTTCCTGACGATCTTTTCAATTTCATCCAATCTTTCCTTGATGCTGACCTCATCCATAATCCATTGTTTGAGCAACTCTTTGTAATGTTCCTCAACCTCAGGGTCCATGCATTCCTTTTTCAGACCATCGAGAACACTCTGGTATCCAACTCCTCCCAGTCTCACCAATGCATCTTGGATGTCCTTCCAGTATTGATTAAATGTTGCTTCATCAACTGAGGCCTCAGTGGCATGACCATAAACTGTGTTTCTGTCGCACTTGATACGAATGATATCTGCCTCGAGAGTTGTCTGTTGTAGCAGGAAGTGTATCCCAACCGGTTGCCGGAGGAACAAGGCCACAAATGTTCCTCAGTAGAACCATAAGTAGAGTGATATCGAAATGATGCGATGAAACTGACGATTTGATAGCAGGATACAGTTTGCCCCATTGTGATGGATTCAAAACCCTTTTTTTCTTAAGTAGTTGTAGAGCATTGTTAACTGGAGGACTTAACAAAACTTTATCCAGATTTCCTGGTGGACGCCTCTTGTCAAATGTCTCTCTTAGGACGTGTGAACAGCCATCCACCAGAAGCCGGCATTATCGTGCGTAATTAGTCGTCTCTTTGGTGGAATGGAATGTGGGTGCAGTTCCAGAAGCCATGAAGAATATTTCCTAAAATAAACACATGCGAGATCTCCTCATGACCTAAAACACACACAAACAAAAAAGCCAGGATGAACATGTAATACCAATTTGTCGCCATTGTAAACATAATTATTTGATACGTCGAGTAAAGATGTATGATCTCGTCTTTTCAAGCAACAAATAAATTTAACCGAAAGGGATATGGATAGCGCTATTTATCCTCCGAACAACCTGTAGGATAATATCGTTCTTGAATTGCGATTTAACAGTTGTAAAATAAGATCCGGCCTTTGAACAACGGTGGAAGATCAATTTTCATACTTCCCAACTTCAGAGGCCGAAAAAATCGCTATTTCTTTTATTGGACTAGATTGAAGTTAGGCTTTTTACCTAACGTTTTACAAAAAGAAAAATTTTGAAATCTCAAAAAGCGTCCGACTTGGTTACGAAAACGTATTTTCAACTAAGAGTCAATAAGTCAGGAAGGAGTCATAATCTCGTAAATGGGCAAGCCCCCGAGGGGAATATTCGCGCCAATTTCATGTTATTTGCATATTTTGTTTACATCGCGCATTTGACAAAATTCATACATGGAAGTTCTCTGCTAGTGGAAAGTCTTTTCATCGAACAAAGACCGAATGCATAATTAATGTTGGGGTTATATGGAAGTCTTGCCGGCCATTACTTCAGAGCAAATCCGTGCAAAAATCGAACATTGCAGGGCAGGGTTAAAAACTAAGATTCGCCGCTATAAGTTCTTTTGCATACAAGTGGCATAAAATCAAGCCATCCTGTTGTGTACATGTGACCATCAAGACTTTGATATAGAAAAATTAACACGATTCCGATGCATATAGCAAAGTAAATATAATAACCTTAACTCAAATGTTATATTCTAAGGTGTTTGTAAGAGTCCAAAGTTTTTCTGTTTTACCGTTTTATCCATTCTGCGGTCTCCGTAAGTTTAACATCTGCACCGTCGTTTTATGTCGCGGCTCGATCAACGCGGCTGCTCCTGCCGGTCTAAACTATGCAATTTGTGTTCCTTGTGCGCTTGATACGACGTGTTGGTATTCTTTGCGACAAAATTCATTAAAACACTGATCGAATCGACCACTTCAAGCTTATGTGCAGAGTTTTCTATCGTCGATCCTAGTTCAATTCATGCTAAAATGTCCAATGGCGCATGAAACACTAAAAAATGCATGCGTAGAAAGTGAGAGTCACAGATTCTTCGCATGTGGCAAATTTGCGCTAAAATTGTCGAATCAGTAGCTCAACGCAGTTAATAGCAGATCATGGAGTATCTCATGAAAAGAAGCCTCTTCAGATTATCAAAAAAACTCTCACTAGTTTCGTTCATGGTGGAGCCTCAGATTATTGAGTAACAAGCATGACTTGTAACTGATCACCGTCCATCGGCGAACGATAAATAAGGCGTAAAATATTAAAGATTATAAATATAGTTAATTATCCTCTTTCAGAATGACTTTGAACGCCAATTCGATGGCCGCGCCTTTTGCTTTCGTATGTGATCAAAACTATGTAAGAGCATGAAATCGTGAAAATAATTTAGTACCAGAATCAACCGAGTTCCGATATATTTGTCGCGCTTTTTTCATACAACCATGATAAATCACATCCATTTAATCGTTTCCTTGTCAGAGTCCTACGGCCCGCTTATCTCGTTCATTTCTATTGCTATTCATGTACAAAGCCGAAGGCTCGAAGACCATAAAGTTGAGAACAAGACGGAATTGAAAATGAGGAAGGAAATTAGACTAATGGATCTCCTTCCGAAAATGAAACTCACCCGTTCATAATTGTCTTACCTTGTGGGTTGATGGCCAGATCACCAATTTACAAAGAGTCCAAAAGTTTCCTGTCCATTACGACCAAGGTTTGATCCCTCTACGAGCTGCTTATTGCCCTCAGTCAGTCACGAGAAGGAATAGCAGCAAGTATAGTCAAGAAACTGACATACAAGATAGACATCTTGAGCTTATTCATATTACCTGAAACAAATCAAGCGTATACAGATATGCCAAGCAGCGCGTTTCTAGAATGGCATTTAGAGACTTTCGCTTTCGAAATCCTAACCTTTTGGCCTCCATTTTCCATTCCGATCAATTACGTTAAACAACTTAGCAGGTAATAACCACCTATAAATTAATGACTACAACGAATAGCTTTCAAGTAGGACAAATGACGCACCATTTCCTAGTTTTATTTCACACGAAAACAAGTCATCCCGTTGCTATCAGTTGTTTTTTTTAATTTTATTACCCGCCTTCAAATTTTATCGCAATCTATGGAGCAGAACTTGTCTCGTCAGTCCAGTAATAACATAGTTAACTGATTAACATAATTGGTTGTTTGTTTAGTAGAGCATGATCTTTGCGCAGACAGTCTATTGAGTACAATACGTGGTAATAATCTTTGATCTGTAAAAAGGCGGTTACTATGGATATCGTCATGATAGAGGCACATCCCGTGTGGTGAGTCACGCGTCACGAGGACCATTGCCTGAAAGTTAGCTCTCATTGGCGCAGCTCTAAGAACGTCTCGTGGGCTTCTCGTGAAAGCCTCGTGTCAGACCTCTGGTTCTGACGGTTTTCCCGTCAGCCCTCAAAATCAGTTCAAATCGATTAAATGCCGAAGAAACAACAAAATAAAAAAACCAAATCATCCGAGTTAAAAATAAGCCCGCCCCTGAAATTGAACTATGGAATGAAGTAAGATTTTTTTAAGGAAGAAAAGGTCGCAACATCCCTTTTATAACTTCTGCTGGCGAACAACGCGGGCGGGCTGGACACTAGCGGAAAAGCCTGTGGGGTGCTTGTTTAGCAATGTGAATGAAAGTAGAGGTGTCGGAAATGCTTCTTCTGACAATATACTCACGACTCACTTTCAATTGAATAAACTGAGCAATTTTATTCCGACTCCTCTCAGTTCACCGACTCTCTTCCCATGTGCTTTTTTTCTCATCCCATAATGTTTTTTTCTCTTCAGTTCCCAGCCTTCGCGGCTATGCTAGCTAGGAATGCCTGACTAATCTTATGATTCGGCTCAAATAAACAAATCAATGCGGTTTAAACTTAACATAATCTCGACAGAGGACCATCAGGAATTGGTGAGATATTAAGATACTCTACGACAAAAGCAAATTGCGATTATCTATTTACCACAAATTCATTAATATTTACGAAGATTGCGAAGATGGGAGAAAGACAAAGGTTTGTACCTCAATCTAGAATTTTTCACCATTTTCAAATTGTGCTCTGCTTGACATCTATTTGGCAGTGAGAATTCCTTTGATATTACAGGTTCACTGTAGGAAGACAGTTTAAGTCTGTAATAAAATGTTTCCTACTTTTCATCAGTAACACTCATATTCCCCATGGACGCCGTTGAGAAAAGTACCGCTGTCGTTAGCAAACTGAATATCAACATCCTCTACTTAAATCGTAACTGATATCGTACTGCTCTGGTTACCACCTACTTAAAATCGAAGCAAGATTTTGTTCTGTTCGTACCCACTCCCATTTATCACGATGTGATAAACGGGAGTGGCTTCTTACCAAGTGAATCGTCCTAACATCCAATATCGGTGGCAACGATGATGTAACACAATAAACTATGATGTAGCATAATAAACTTTCGTGCTTTTCATTTTAAACATTCGTGTAAATTGACTCTTAGTTTATTCACATGTGCAAATCAATGATGTTGCATTTGTGGTATGTCACTGTACCCCTATGAATGGAAAACAGGTCAAGTTAAGATGCGGTTGTTTCTTCAACAGCTCACTGAGGAGCCTCCCACCGGCATTGGTGATCTTTAAATTTCCATCCAGATTTAATGACCTGACCTGACAATGGGCCGTTTGTAATGCCCGACATAGACTGACAACACCAGCATCGGTGATCTGATTATCACCCAGATCTAATGTGGTGACTTGACATGTTGTTGTCTGCAATGCTTGACATAGACTGACAACACCAGTATCGGTAATCTGATTACCACCCAGATGTAATGTGGTGACCTGACATGTTGCTGTCTGTAATGCTTGACATAGACTGACAACACCGGCATCGGTAATCTTATTATAACTCAGATCAAATGTGGTAAGTTGACATGTTGCTGTCTGTAATGCTTGACATAGACTGACAACACCAGCATCGGTGACCCCAGAACGAATCAAACGCAGTTCAAGTAAATTAGACTGTGGCAGCATCTTTCTGATCATTGGGACCCATATGACAAAAGACGTAAAACTCTGAAGGACTAGTCCAGTAATGGGACAGAACTCATTCTCAAGCGCCTTGCAGATTCTTCCTAATCCAGTCTCCGATAGAAAAACCCACCTGATGGTTAACCGTTTAGGTGAGTGATAAAGGGATGGGTGATTTCTGCAACACGTGCACCTAAAGAGATTCAGCCGTTGAACCAACGGCATACGTGTCTGTTGGAGGGATGTTTGATTCTTTCGAGCCGTTTCCACGACATTCAATGAACTGATGACATCTAATAGAAAAGACACAGCAATGTAGTCTAAATTAAACACGTTTATAAATTTAATGTCTCCACCATTGTCCCAGATCGCATTGAAGTATCTCTTTACTATCCCTTGCGCAAATTCTTTGTCTTGATACTCTGTGAGACACTTTAAAGTTAGCAGGTTTCTCGAGGGCTGCGGATCGAGTTTTTCGATCAACGTTTGCATTAAAGCTTTTTTGTTTTGCTTTGATAAGATGCCGGACATGAATATGAATACCATTTCTGATACATTTTCGCGGGAAGGGATCTGTTTTCTCTCTACAAACCATTGAGCCGCTAAGTATTCCTGGAGAGTTAAATGTGTGAAACAAAAGGACTTGGTCGTTTCAGAAAATGTTTTTCTAAAAATAGGACCGCAATGAAGGAGGCCGCTTGCTCTCAGACTTTCCACTTCTCCGAGAGTAAAGTTCTCCATATCTTCGACAGCGAAGAGAAACTTATTCTCTAAGAGAAAATCAGCTGCCAACTTGGACAACTTCTTCAGTGTTACTTTGGGAGGGGTTCCTCTCTTTTTGCTATGTTTTCTCAAGAACATATTAACCACTTCAAAATAGATGTCACTCATATTGACTGGGAGAGCGTCAGTGTTCGTCGATTCCTTTAAGATGTACTCAAAATAAGAACACATCAGAAAACAGAGGACTGGAATGTGGGCAAAGCTGACAAGATTGTCATTCTTTGTGATGTGATCCATTACAGCGTTCTTCATAACTTCATTTGCTTGAAAATGCTTCTCGATGTATTCCTTTACGTGTTGCTCGGAAAATCCTGTAATTTCCACGCACCGATCAAAACCAATTTTGTTTCTGATTTCATCAGACTCATCGGGTCTTGATGTTAGCATGACAACCGAGCCTCTCAAGATTTTTCCTTTGATTAACTTGGCACACAGAGCCGTTATCGGCATTTTCTCGTAAGCGTCACTCGGATACCGGTCATCCACATCTTCCACCATGAAATGTTGTTGTGCACACTCATCATACCCGTCAAGGATAATCAAAACCTCCTCAGAATGCTCGACAATGTACTTAAATAAAGATTCGTCAATACTGGAGCGGTCGTCTAACACTGAAGATCTATTGAAGATTTCCCTCAGGGTAACGCAGTCGTTTCCGAGTAAATTTAATTGACGAAATGTTAGCAGATAAGCGAACTTGAAATCAGGATCGCGCAAATTTGTTCGAGATAGGAACAATTTGTTGTCAGCCCAATCTCGAATTAACTTTTGACAAAACAGCGTTTTTCCAATTCCTGCTTTGCCAGTGACAAGAACAGATTTGGGATTCTTTTCCTCACTACCATCGGTATCAGAAGTGAAAATTTCTTGACAATGTTTGACTGGTTTTCCACTCACTTGACTGTACTGATGAAGGCGTTTCTTTCTTTCTATGTTAAGGTCTTCGACTGGTTTTCGTCCATGTTGTATAAGATTACTTGTGAATATGTCATCTGTTCTTACCTTGGACGAGGTGGGAGAAGCTACACTGTGGAACTCAGTTTGGCTTTTGATTGATTCTTTCAATGCATTTGTGTACGTTGCTACAGCTGAAAAGTAAATGTCAGACTAGCATTAACTGTGTGGAGGAGGTATTTAAACAGATGCAGTGACCAAGAAATTGCCCCTGGGGGATACCGATGGTTCCACTAGTCATAAAATAAAGGAAGCTATCACGCAGTTTCGACCATTACTTCAGACAACCACTTCGCTCTCTCTAGGAAATGTAAGGGCATTACTTACTATAACTGATCATTGTTCATTGGCAGATGACGCCACTGCATCTATTTAAGGAGGGGAGGAGGGGGTGTTGTCGGGGAACTTCATAAGCTTATAAAACTATTAATTGGTGTTAAATGTTGCTCGTTGTCAGGTGGTTTCAAAAATGCTAAAAATCCTAAAAGATACTGATAGAGTGATATGTTGTTATCTTCCAATTTGATTCAATCCTGTTATAGAATTTCCCGGTCTAATCATAACATTTTATGTAAAACTTTTAAGTCTAGGTTACCTTCGACTCCTATTTTCTTTTCAGGATTTGATGTGGATTCTCTCATTTCATCCAGCTTCCTAGAGAACTCATCCAATTTTTTCATGATAGCGACCTCATCTATTACCCCTTGTTTGAGCAGCTCTTTGTAATGTTCCTCAACCTCAGGGTCCATACCTTCCTTTTTCAGACCATCGAGAACACTCTGATATCCGACTCCTCCCAGTCGTACCAATGCATCTTGGATGTTCATCCAGTATTTATTGAATGATGCGTCATCAACTGAGGCCTCGGTGGCATGACCATAAACTGTGTTTCTGTAGCACTTGATACGAACGATATCTGCCTCGAGGGTTGTGTCTGCCGGAGGAGGAAGTGTATCCCAGCCGGTTGCCGGGGGAACAAGGCCACAGATATTCCTCAGCAGAACCATAAGTAGGGTGATATCGAAATGCTGCGATGAAACTGACGATTTGATAGCAGGATACAGTTTACCCCATTGCGATGGATTCAAAACCTTTTTATTCTTGAGTCGTTGTAGAGCATTGTGAACTGAAGGACTTAACAAAACTGCATCCAGATTTCCTGATGGACGCTTCTTTTCAAAAGCCTCTCTCAAGACGTGTGAACTGACATCCACCAGAAGCCGGCATAATCGGGCGTAATTAGTTGTCTCTTTGGTGGAATGGAATGCTGGTGCAGCTCCAGAAGCCATGCGAATATTTCCTAAAATTAATGGAGATAAGATATCATCATGACTAAAACTACATACAAGTACCCTTATGCATTTATTTACTTCGTGATGAGTGCGATGTCATCTGGTACTATTTGTTTGGAGAAAGAAGAAATTTAACCACTGAATGGAGGGTGGATTGCACTATCCATTCTTCAAACAACCGCACTTAAAAAGGTCTGCAATGCATTCAAGGGTGGGATAGAATCACGGTCGTAAAATGTACATTCATGGGATGAACATCATATTATATTCCAAAGGCCTTCAATTCACTGAAGAAAATTAGGTTCTCAGTTGCGTTTTTTTTCTGGGATCCGTGTGAAGCGTTGATAGCTCGCATTTATCATAATGTTCTTGGAAGATATTTCATCCACAATTCTGAAATTTTGGGCTCAGGCCCTTTTCTTTGTTGTTGTCGTTGGAACCAAAATCGCAAAATGATTACGTGATTCGTGTTTCCACCATGAGAACCTTTTAAAGGAGCAGGATGGGGTGTTACGAAACAGAGTAACGCAGTAAAGAGTCACCAGTAACTGACTCACAAGAAAGGGAGTGACGGCAAAATATTCCACAGGTGAAAAGAAAATAAGTAATAATAAACAAACATCAACTATGGAAGACAGACAAACAGTCCCGCAATTATAATTTTGATTTCTCTACCACGTAAGTTTGCGTGACTGTCTGTTGAAAAATGACTTGCCTATTACTGAACTGTGGCATCGTTTGTACACGTGGCAAAATTTGAAAAGTAGCGGACTATTCCAGTAACACCACTTCCGATTTAACAACAGTTAGCGAGGTGATTGAACCAGACTTGAATTATTGCATGCTTTATTCGTGAGTACTACATTGCAGAGGCTAAATCAAAGAGATTTCGTTAAAAAGTTTGTACGGCTCTTCCCTCCATCCTCGTCGATCTCAATGCAAGTTTCCTGTTCAATTTAGCAAAGTTTTAGTTTAACAGACTGGCATATGGTATTTCGAGGACTGGACTGGACTGGGCTGGACTAGTAAAACGCGAACTAGTAAAGCGCAGACTAGTAAAGCGAGGACTAGTAGAACGCGGACTAGTAAAGCGCGAACTAGTAAAACGCGGACTAGTAAAACGCGCACTAGTAAAACGAGGACTATTAAAGTGTGGACTGGTAAAACGCGGACTGGTAAAACGCGGACTAGTAAAACGCGGACTAGTAAAACGAGGACTAGTAAAACGATGACTAGTAAAGCGCAGACTAGTAAAGCGCGGACTAGTAAAACGCGGACTAGTAAAACGCGGACTTAACAACAACAACAAAGAAACAATTTCATACGAAGGTGATCACAAGACTTAATGACGAGCCAATTTAGTGAGTGACAATCCCTGTTTGACCTTTAAGCTACACATGGGTTTGACATGCACCAGATACAAACGAATTTATAAGTTTAGGCTAAGAAAGAATTTTATTCAGCACCAGTTCAAAATCCTAAAATACACTTTCGTCGTAAATTTCACGGCAGAAACGCAGGAATTCGATGAATAAAAGTCGCATTAAATCTCCTTGTGTCTAGGTAGAAAGAGTCTCATTGACTTCAGCTTTTCGGTGGAAGAATAACCGATTTACACACGCCATTACAGAAAACAAACAAGCAGACTGACAACTCCCGGCCAAAACACATATTTGCATTCACTTACAATTTGACTTTCCGTGA